CATTTAACAAGCAAAATAATCCATGACAAAATGAGGCAATTTTAAACAAAGAGTTTATTTATTTTTATTGATTTTAGAGAGGGAGGAAGGGAGAGAGAAAAACATCAATGTGAGAGAGATATTGATCGGTTGCTTCCCTCACCAGGGATTGAACCTGTAACCTAGGTATGTGCCCTGGTTCATAGATTGATGCTCAACCACTGAGCCACACCAGCCAGGCAGAATTTCAATTCTTTTGGGGCTGTTGAACCAAGAGCCTCAGTTCCTTGCTGGTTGTCAGTCACGGGCTGCCCCCATTTCCTTGTCATATGAGCCTCTCCATACAGCGACTCCTAATGTGGTTGCTCGCTTCATCAAAAGCTAGTTAGGGCGAGAGTCTGTTAGCAAGACAGAAGTCAGAATCCTCTGTAACCTATTCAGGGAAGTGACGTGCTGGCACTTTTGCCAAATTCTAGTGTTTAGAAGCAAGTCACAGGTTCTACACTCAAAAGGAGAGCATTCCGGGTGGTGTGCGTAGCAGGTGGTGGGGGTCACTGGGATCATAGTTGAGGCTGTCCAGCACATAAAAGCAACACAGCAGAATTGCTGTGCGGTTAAAGCCATAGGTTCCAATCATCTCACAAAAGAAGGCAAATAGCATTCTTTGCTAAAACTCTCTGGTTTTTCTCCAATTTCAGACTTCAACGTTTTAACATAAGTTTATTTAGACCAAAATTTCAGCAAACAGTGTCTAAACAGAGTCGTGCACATTCATTTTGACATTTTGCTGTCATAATGTTATCCATAAATACACACGGGTACCCTGAATTAGTTTTTCATGCTGTGCGTTTCCTTGTGGAAGTAGTATGACGACACTGTCATTGCAGCAAAAGACCAGTAGGTGGCCGAACGCAGGAAGACACAGATCACTGCAGTAAAAGTCTTTATAAGTAACTGTAAAGGGCTCTGACAACTGGTCATGGAAGGTTGTGGCTAGAGATATTCAAAACAGAGTTTGTAATGGTCTTAGGAATATTTTTAAATTTTACAAAGCAACAAAATCTCCATCATACTGCTAGAAGAAGTATCTATTTGGTATAACCTTCCCTGAGGGCGATTTACCCAATTCCAAAGTATTTAAAATATGCTTATTCTTTGATTAAGCTATCAACGCATAAGTATATGTAGCAATTGGTCCAAGACATTTAAAATGAGCTAAAAGATTCATCTACAGCAGCGGTTCATGGTGGGGGGCCACGGGAGGGAGTGAATGTTGGAGACTTGTTATTGCCACGACTGGAGGGGAAAGGTTGCTACAGGCATCTGGTGGGTGAATGCCAGAAATGTCACTAAACATTCTACAATGCAGTGGATAGTCCCCCACAACCACGAATTCTCTAGCCCAAAATGTCAATTGTGCTGAGTCTAAGAAACCTTAGTCTAGAAGCATGTATCCCCTGGTACTGTTCACAAGAGTGAAAAAATAGAAAAACACCCTAAATGTCTAAAAATAGGGGACTAGTTCAACAAGTTATGATGAGCCATTCATATAGTTCAGTCATTAAAGGGGATGTTGCAGAAGTATACGTATTGTAACAAAATATTCTGTTATTTGAATAAAGCAACTTACCAAATCCTGCATAGAATATAACGAGATACGTACACACTTGAAGGTATAAACAGTGGTTTATCTCTGACTGGTGGCATTTTCTTCTTTTGTGCATCCTTTTACATTCTACCTTTTCTTTAACGAATATCTTACATCTAATATTAAAATATTACTTATTCAATTAAGATTTGGAGACTATAGCAGCTGCTAACTTTCAAGAGAAAAACACAGCAAAATATTTGAAACTGCTTATCAACTTAAAAATAGTGAGGTTTTCATTACATTTGTCTCATATTATCTTAACCAGCTGTTTCCTTAGTTCCAGTCACATCAACGATTTTTCCCATGCATTCCTGGCCACATTTTGCCTTTGTCTATACTGAAATTCTTTTTCTACGGTCAGGGAAGTTAATTTGTTCTCCATTTCCTCAAGTGCTTGAAGGGAAATGCAAGCCTAAGAATAGATGCAGATATTTTTTATTGGAACAAATCACCAATGGCCTTCTCAAGCACTCCATCATTGAATTTCTGCTTGTCCTCTGAGCATTGGTAAAATGGGAATGCTGCTGTAAGCTGTGAAAATGCGCATTCAACCGAAGGGCTTGTATGCATGCATATAAGCATAACCAATGGACACAAGACACTGGGGGGTAGGGGAGGTCGGGGGAATGTCAAGGGGGGCGGGTAAGGAGACATATGTAATACTCTTTGTATTACTTTAAGCAATAAAACAAAATTAAAAAAAAAAGAAACATTCACCTTCAGTACTAATGCAATGGTGGTTGATCACACTGCGAGGAGCTTAGGCAATTGCACTTTCGTTTGCTGATAACCATACACTGCTAAGTTAAAGCCCTAAATTGTGAAGTCTCATTTTGGTTATAGCCAATACAGCAAGAATGCAGGTTTTTGTTTTTCGGCTGGAAATTCTACTAATATTTACAGCCAATGGATGACATTTTAGAATAACTCCACTGGACAATACCCACATTTTCACACGTAAATGAATTGTCAAATGTCAGCAAAATCTAATATATATATTCGTTGTAAGCCAAAGAAAGCCAGTTATCATCAAATAATTAAATCAATGCTATTATTGTATAAGCATTTCAAATATAATTTCCTTCTGAGGAACAGAAGAGAAAGGTTCAAGGAAGAGTCCTAACTGCAGGGGTCAGAGCTGTCATTCACCAATTCCTTGTCTGAGCAAATGACTCTTCTGCACTCAGAGGTTCACTTGTAAAATAATGAGATGATTTACTCTTCCTTCTGCCCTGTACTTCATTCTATTAAAACAGCTCTTCATATTTTGGGACAGTAACACCTCGATATAAGGGACTCATTCCAGGTGAGGAGGTGTCCGTTAAAAGCAAAAGTCCATTATGTAATAAAGTAGGTTTTCCGAATGGGTATGTTTAAAAATGGACACATTAGTTAGTTTACCTGTTTTTACTTACGTAGGCACGTTTGTGTAATTAGAATTGTGTATGAAAAGTTTAATTTCACACAAAGGTTTTCTATATGTATTACTGTAATTTTAAATTTATACTGAACAGGTGTAGTCAATGCGTGAATTCACCAGTCACCGCAAGTAAACAAATGCACAAACTGGCATGTGGCTTAGCGCAGCAAGTGGCAACATCAAACAGGCCCACGTTAAAACTGCTGCAGGAAGTCCACAACAGAACCAATACCGAGTGATCACGTGCTAACGGTTCGCTGAACATTGGTTATAAGCCGTGACTCTTGGATATGAGTATGTAGACTACAGTTGTAGAAAGGTAATATTTATGTCAGCGAAATTACTACAGTGGTTTTTCCAACACATGGCCTTGTCGCTAAAATGTGCTAGAAATAACAGTGAATTAATAACAAAAAAATAACCTGTTAATTTAATTATAAGCAAATCTTGGTTTAAAGCATTTTAAAATTAACAGGGTGTTAATTTTCACAGGACATAGGGATAGGACATTTTGTCTGTTAAATCAAAGTCCGCAAGATCGAGGGCTTACTGTATCTATGTCCCCACTACACTCCTGGCCGCCTAGGTCAGTTGACTACTCTTGGCTTTTCCACTGTACTTTGTCCCATACTTGATTATGAATAGAGGAGAGGCCTGATGCACAAAATTCATGCAAGAGTAGGCCTTCCTTCCCCCGGCTGCCGGCACTGGCTGCCCTTTGGCACCCAGGACCCAGGCTTCCCTCACAGTCCCGGCTTCCTCAGGAAGGACATCTGGTCTAATTAGCATATTATGCTTTTACAAGAGGCCGGCCCTCAGCCCAGCCTGTGGCCTCTCACATGTCCGACTGCTGTGGAGGCGGGAGAGGCTCCCGCCACCACCCCTGTGCTCGCCAACCGTGAGCCCAGCTCAGGGCTTCTGTCTGAGTGGTGCTTTCCCTGTGGGAATGCACTGACCACCAGGGGGCAGTTCCAGCATTGAGCGTCTGCCCCCTGGTGGTCAGTGCATCTCATAGCGACTGGTCGTTCCACCGTTCAGTCAATTTGCATATTAGCCTTTTATTATATAGGCTTATTATAGATGCTTAGTATTAGGGAGATCTTTAAGGGTCCTAGCCAACATTACTTTATGGGAAGAGAGAGGAGATAGCATGTCTTAGAATCAGGTAGATAGTCTGAGTCTCCAGATGTACAACCTGCTCCAGGAAAATCCAGGCAGCCACACATTTTCACCCTCATTTTTCTGGAAGGGGAGAACTGAAGATACAGTGGTTTCTAGAAAAAGATGTAGATGCTTATAGAGGTCTGGGAGGCCAAAGGATATTTCAGGCTATGAAAATAACTACCTATTAATTTTTAAAAATAGCATGCCCAGGTTATGGGAAGCATTTTTCCTAATCCCCATGTGAGTTAAACTCAGAAAACTTACCCACTTAGAGAATGAGTGACTCGGTTTGCATGGGAAGCAAATTTTGCACTGTCAAAACACAGAATCATTTCGCCGGAGGTAAGTTCTCCAGAAAGAAGTTTCTCAGGTTTTAGGGCAGGTCGTATTTTCCTTGTCCTAGTACTGCGCTGGCGCTGGGGCGGGGGGCCATCTTCAGGGGCTCAGACTCCGCCAGGCCGACAGGGGGCGCCCGAGTCCGCGCTTTTCCCGCCAACCCCTGCGGCGCTCCAGCCCCGACTCGCGCAGCAGCCTCTAGAGCCACCAGCGCCAACGGGGCCATTCCTCTTCCGGGGCACCGCGCAGAGACGTGCGGGACCCGGAAGCAGACCCGAGCGCAGCTATATAAGCGCCGCGCGCGCTGCACGCCTTTCTCTTTGAGGAAGACGTGGTTGCAGGAACGCAGCTCCGTCCCGCCCGCTCCTGACTCACCGCTGTTCGCTCTCGCCGAGGAACAAGTCAGTCAGGAAAAATATATTTATCACAACAACTAATACTTTTTTGCGGGACTCGGGCCCGCGCCTCGCTCGCTCCTGGGGACGGATGCCGGGCTGGGGGGAGGCGGTGAGTAGACGAGACTCACTAGTCCCGGTGCTCCCGGCAATGGCGGAGGAGCCCGGGAGGCTTGTGCTGACGCTCGTCCCCAGGAGCGGCAGACTTGACAAAGTTCCTCTGCTGTTCTTCTCCCTCGGGCCATAGGCGTTTAAAGACACCGGGAAGACGCCCGTGGAGCCGGAGGTGGCGATTCACCGGATCAGGATCACGCTGACCAGCCGCAACGTCAAGTCCCTGGAGAAGGGTCGGTAGCTTCCGGGGGAGACATGGGGCCGGGAGGGTCAGAAGGGTAATTTGTTCTGTGCAAGATGGACCCGGAAGGAAGCTGACCGAGTCGCTTGCCTTTGAGCAGACAAAAGGTTTTAGAGATTTTATTTTCACCGTGTCTTGCACCCGCGGTTGGCTATGAGGAGACGGTTGCTCGTTGAGTGGCGGTGATAGTTCTGTACGCTATTCTGAGCCGGCGGCGGGCAGCGTTTCCCGGGCGGCCTGGCCGTTTGGAAGGAGCTGAAGGGTGTGCTTTCCCCTAGTGTGCGCGGACTTGATCAGAGGCGCCAAGGAGAAGAACCTCAAGGTGAAGGGGCCCGTGCGGATGCCGACCAAGGTGCGTGAAGCGAGGCGAATCGCTGGGCTGCCGACGAGGGTGGCTGTGGGGGGCCGGGTCTGGCTTGGGATGCGGGGCTGGCTGCCCGGAGCTTCCTCTGCAGGTGGGGGGTGGGGGGCTCCTGGCTGCTGTTGCTGGGCGTGGGGGTGCTGCGGGGAACTGGCTCCTGTGAACTGAAAGCATCTGGAACCTGCTATGTGGGGAGACGGGAGCCTAAGGGGGAGCCCTTCAGCGTAGCTTCCAGGTGCCCCGGCCATGAGCATAAACGCCTGGCTTCCTTCCTTCCCTCCCTCCCTGCAGACGCTGAGAATCACCACAAGGAAGACGCCCTGCGGGGAGGGGTCCAAGACCTGGGACCGGTTCCAGATGCGGATCCACAAGCGGCTCATCGACCTGCACAGCCCCTCCGAGATCGTCAAGCAGATCACGTCCATCAGCATTGAGCCGGGGGTGGAGGTCGAGGTCACCATTGCAGATGCGTAAATCAGGCTTTTTAATAAATTGGCTATCTGTTGTTTAAGCTTTGCTGACTTTTATTCGTGGTAGTGGCAGATCTTAGGGATATCGGTTTGTAGTGTAAAAGGTTTCTGGCATGATTCTGAAGTGCACAGTGGATGTGATGTGAGCTTCCGTATATGACTCTAAAATGATTGGTAGGAATGACATCCATAGTTGTAAGAGGACTTACTCGTTTTAATTCTGGCTAGAGACCTGAGAACGTTGGCATAAACAGCTTTGTAAAAGTGTAGGAATTTTATTTTAAAATGACTACAGAGACTTACAGCGAAACACATTTTTTCTGTTGGTAAGGAGTTCTAGTGAATAATTCATTTTTCTTTAAAGTATACAGTGCTGAAATCTATGGAGATGCACAAAACTATAGAGATAATAAAATCAGTATGAGGAGTAAAAGGAGCTACTCTAATCTCCTAGGCTTTATCGCCTTGACTGTGGTTTTAGTAGCTGCTGCCACACACCCCAGTTTGCCTGGGAGAGTCCTGGTTTATGGCTGTATCCCCCATGTAAATAATGAAGACTCCCTTTTACTCTCAAAAATGCCCTAGATTAGTTCTGGCCAATGTGGCGCAGTTAGGTGGAGCATTGTCCTGTACACCAAACTGGTGGTGGTTGGATTCCTGGTCAGGGCACATGTGGGGAGCAGGTGGGCTGATGGGCATTTCATATGGACGTTTCTCTCTTTAAAATAAGAAACGCCCTAGCTTAGATGCTAAATAATAGACACCCCACAGTTAGATTCCTTCCTGCTTTAAGTCCTGACTGCCAGCTAGTTAGGATTATAACAGTTTCCTAGATGAAGCATTAAGAGCCAATGGTGATTCATACTGCAGATGTCAAAACTTCTTGTTCCGATCAGAGAACAGGTCACAGGGCGAGCCACCATCCCCAAATCAAAAGAATGGGTCACAACCAGAGGATGCCTGGAGCAGAAGCTGCTGTCAATCTTGTTGGCGACTGAAACAATTTTGACTATTGGAGGCTGCTTGTAGACGAGCATGAAAGTGAAAACTGGGGCTACAATACTTAACAGATTTTTCCTCAGGGGACCCCCCAGGTAGGTTCCCAGAAGGGTTCCAGAAAGCTCCCTGAGTGAATGAGTTGTCTGGGGTAAACAGCCATAGGGAAACACTGAGCCCCTTCTCCCTAACAAAGGCCTGACCTCCAAGGGAAGGGACTAAAGAGTCATCCCATCTGAGGAAGAGAACCCAGCCCTAATTTATCCTTCAGCCTTTCAGTCTCAAGGAAAACTAAAATGTATAGTCGGCAGGGATTTTGGAGGATGGTGAAGCTACGAGAGGGGCTGGGAGTGAAAAACTGGAAAGCTGTACTGGGGGAGAGAGGGGTCAGATAATGCTTCTGATCCACACCCTGAGATGGGACAACTAAAATACTGAGACTTGATTAGGAAATTCCCTCGCCCATGACCTAGCACTTCATAAAAAGTAGTAACTAGCAATAATGGATTAGAGCTGAGAGCTGCAAGACGGTTCAAGAGAAGTCCCAAAATCAAGAGAGAAGGAAAAAACCCCACTAGAGGAATTTGAAGCCTATTCATGCTTATAGTTGCACTAAACAGTAAACACATTCCAGCTCCTAGCCAGAGTAACAAACCCTTACATAAATGACTTATTTACCTCAGTTTTATTACCTGGTAAGACATCCAGATTTCAAGTTTTAAACATTTCAAGGTCTGCCAGAAGGCAAGAACACTGACAGAAATAAAGCAGCCATCAGAACATATATGACACTGATAATGAAATTACGGGAAAGGTAATTAGAAATATGCATATGGGAAAGGCTCATGGAAAAAGGTAACATTTATGAACATGGATAATGGAAACAAAAGGAATCAAAACTGCTAGAAGTCAACATCACAGTAACAGTGTCTTTGGGCTCATCAGTGGACTAGACAGCAGAGGAAAGTCAGTGAGCTTGCTGATAGGTCAATTGAAACTTGTCAAACTAAAATTTAAAGTGGAAAAAACAGCCAAACATCTAAGAACTATGGGATAATTATAAAAGTTGTAACATGCATAATTGGAATGCCAGAAAGAATGGAGAAGAAATATTTGAAGTAACATCTGCTAGTTTTCCAAAATTATTGACACCAAACTACAAATCCAAGAATTTTAGAGAACATCATGCCAGTTAAATACCTAAAAATCTATAGTTAGGTATATCCTATTCAAACTAGAAAAAGCAAAGACAAGAGGAAACGGAAAGAATCCAGGGGCAGGTGGGAAGGAGGGTGTGTGTGTGTGTGTGTGTGTGTGTGTGTGTAACTTGCCTATAGAGGAACAAGGATAAGAATACAGCAGCCTTCTCCATGGAAGTCACACACAAGAAGACAATGGAGTAAATCATTAGTGTTGAAAGAAATTATCCTTCAAAATGAAGGAGAAATACAGACTTTCAGACTAACAAAACCTGAGGGATTTCATTGCCAACAGACCTTCCTGGAAAAATTAGAAGAAAGTTTCGGGCAGAAGGAAATTATATAGGTCAGACCCAGATTTATATAAAGAATGGAAGAATGTAGGGGAAGGAATAAATGAAGGTAAATTGATTTTTTTCTTATTTTTAATTGATCTAAAGATAACTGTTTAAGACTCATAGATACAGAGAATGACAAAAAAGGAAGAAGGTGCCAAAGAAGAAATGTTCTCTTCTTGTGGAAGGTAAATATACAGGAAAGTTTTAATCTCAGAACTCAGAGGTTCCCCAATCCTTTACAGGTCTGTATCCTGTGGGCCTCTCCACAAACAACCATGCCATCATTTTGGTATTCAGATGAGATCAAAGAGGATAAAGATTCTACATAGTGAGCTGAAGTAAATGACATTATTTAGTCTATGTACAAGGACATTAATCTTCGCAATTTTACTTCCTTATAAAAATTGGCATTCACAAATGTCTTGCCTTCTTGCTCCTTCCCCTCATATGATTGCCCTTAACTTTCCCAGATACCTCTTGTCTAGACTTAGTTGGCTTACCGTGACTCTTTCTCTTGTGATTCTGGGAGTCACTGGTTGGGCTAATGTGGACACCCTTTTTTAAAAAATATATATATTTTATCGATTTTTTACAGAGCGGAAGGGAGAGGGATAGAGAGTTAGAAACATCAATGAGAGAGAAACATTGATCAGCTGCCTCCTGCACACTCCTTACTGGGAATGTGCCCGCAACCAAGGTACATGCCCTCGACCAGACTCGAACCTGGGACCCTTTAGTCCACAGGCTGATGCTCTATCCACTGAGGCAAACCAGTTAGGGCCACCCTTTTTTCTATAATTACACAGAAAAAGCTCAACCTTCCCCAAGTTGGATCTAAAAATTCTATCATTCAATGGTGGATGCTACTGAGTTGATTTAGCCGACACATAGTAGGGTATCAGACACAGAAACAGGATGCCTGATTAACTGTTAGCGTTTTCCATTCTCTTCTTCCTCTTTTACTATTTTTTTAAGGCCCCTTTTCTTTTCATTCTATGCCAGCTCCTCAATAATTAGCTCTTCTTAAGTAAGCAGTTAAAACAGGTTGGAGAATCAAGGGCACAAACTGAACCAGCTTCCTCTATTCCTTTCCTCCTGCATCTTGTGGCTGTCCTTTGTGGAGATCTGTGGTCAGGATGTCCTGGACATTGAGGGAAGAGAAGGAGCCCCACCAAATGGGGCTGATTGCTTATTTTATCTGTCTTACTTCCTTTAAAGTTCCATGGGTGTTGTGAAGGGTGAGAGCTGTATGCTGTAATAATGAAATAAGTCTGGGATCATGTTCAGCTCTCTTCTCTTCAGAACCAAGGGGAATTGTATCACCCCCTTGCCTCCATTTCATTTCCTCATGCCCTTTTGAACACAGGGGCTATGGCATTCCTTCTCTTTGCCTTTTACCTGGGACTGGAGAGTGTGGTGCCCTACCCTGGCACTGCCTGGCCCCTTATAAGGAGTAGTGGCATTAAGACCAGCCCTCAGGACCTCTCCACTCACCCTGTCCCTGTCTCTGAGAATGTCTCTTCAGTTTTGCAGGAGGTCCCAGAACTCACTTGCGGCACAATATCTTTGTATGTTTGTTATTAATCCCAGGAACTCAGAATTGGTATGAAATTTATTACAGCAAATTTTAATCATTGCACAATTTAACTGCCACTTTGAAGAGATTCCTGAGGGCAATTTTTTTTTTTACTTGAAAATTTACTAAAATAGCCTCCTTGGTCATTAATCTGCCTGTGTAGTTGGCGGAAATGTATTCACACCTGCGGTGATGTATACTTCAGACCTCATTCAATTATAAAACTGTTACCTTGCCTGGCCAGTATGGCTTAGTGGTTGAGCATCAACCTGTGATATAGATGGTCACGGGTTTAATTCCTGGTCAGGGCACATGCCCAGGTTGCTGGCTTGATCCCCAGTGTGGGGCGTGCAGGAGGCAGCCGATCAATGATTCTGTCTCATCATTGATGTTTCTATCTCCCCCTCTCTGAAATAATAAGAAAAGTATATATGAAAAAACAACACCACAAAACTCTGTGACCTTAACTCACTTATCAACGGCACTGAAGGTCATTATATTGTTTTAAATCTACTCAACCTTAAGATATTTTTATAATCACAGTAATGTATAAAATTTTGCAAAATCAGTGAACAATTCCTGAAGTTATTACAAACACCAAATGGTGAGGAGTTGAATTAAAATGGAAATCCTACTTCATTTACTAAACAAGGAAATGTGCTTATTGTCTATAATTTTCATTTATTTTAAAATCAACTCATAACCATGGACATCTCTCAAAGAAAATTCAACTAAATCCACCATCCCTTTGGTATTAGGGGCGAGGAGGAGGGGCCTCTGTTGAAACCTCCTCTCAGGAGGATGCAGAGAGAGCAGGAGCCCACGGGCTTTCTATCTGTGGCTCTGGATTTGGACACTGGAGGACCAGGACTTTGTGCCTTCTTATTTCATAATGTCTGCTTCTCGCTAATAAGAAGCCTTTAAGTAGAAAG